AACAATTATTTCAAACATAGTTTTGGCTCATTAAAAATCGACTCTTACTTTTATGTGTTTAAGTGCAATGAGATGGTGTTGTAGATGCAAGTGAAAGGAGCGTAGGTTAGAAATAAAAATAATTTTCATTAATTTCTGCTTTTAAAGTCAAGAATCGAATTAGTACGGACGATATATTTTTGGAGCTACATATGTTAGGACCTCTCTATTACAAGACAGCGTCGTGCATGACATAATATTATATATAATCTTAAACCATGGCAAAGTAACAGCTCACGCAGTGTCTTCAGAGGATATCACAAACGCTTCACAAATATAAAAGTTTACAGTGAACATTCAGTTTGCTATAGTCGTCCGCTATTGGCGTTTCCGACAAATGAGCAGTCTCTTGGGGAGACGTGTACAAAGTTTCAGATCGATATCTCATAAACTGAGGTGATTTCATCCAAGTGAAAGCGAGTCCGTTTTCCGTTTTCGGTTGTCCACTTGCGATCGAGCACTGAACCTATAGGTCTCCAGTGAACTCGTCAAGTGCTTGTCCACAACCAGAACTTGTGCGACTGCAAGATCTTTCTGACCCAAAGTGAAACAAACTATTTTGCACTGCAATTGTAGCTGTTTTGACTTTGGACACTGTTCAATTGGTATATACGCGGTGCCACTAAATATTTTGATGGACGCTCCCCAAACGCTTGCCAAAGCTGTATGGTGGAAGGCGAGGTGAGGCGAGGAGTTATTGCCTGGCTTTTCCCAGACTAAGCTTGAAATATCTCGGTAGATACACCTTTGGAGAACCTAAGGAAGTGGCTGAGATTTATATTGACCGTTCTAATAAATTTGTGCTAAATGTGAACTGAAAACGCTTCGTTGATCTTTGATGAACTTTAAAGAGTTTTTAGGTAACATAAAGGACAAATATCTGTTCAAGTGAGATCCATCAACTTTTTGGATCAACCCTAAGACCTGACTTGAGGTGCTAGTTCGCATATGTATAGACAGATGGACGAACGGACGCGCGTGGCTAAAACGACTCAGCTCGTCACGCGGATCATTTATATATATTATATATATTTTACAGAATCTCCGACGTTTTATTTCGGGGTGTTCGCAACTTCGTGGCAAACTTACTATACCATCTTCGGGGTATAAAAAGGACGCTGGTTGTAAAAATTAAGCTTCTGGGTGCATTTCTGTCGTGAAAAAGTTTATAATAACAAAGAGCCGTCAGAAGGTATCTTAGAAAATAATAGTACCTGCCACCTGACAAATAAATTCAAGCCAAACACCCTACAAAATCGTTAAAAGGGAGAAGCTCTATCAAAGGAAAAAAAGAATTTCGACGTGACGTCAATACAAAATATTCATATTAACAAGTTGATTCCATTCCATTTTCATTAAACATTCAATTTCTCAATTCTACCACCTTTTCAACTAAGACTACCCACAACCCACAATGTAACGTATAGAGGCTTTTCACTGCATTTTTACTATATATATATATATATATATAGACACAATAAACACATTTCTTATTCACACGCAACGTAATTCCTTCATACTCAACACACACACACACTAACATACATACATAAATACATAAATGCATGCCAATACCCTTGATTGCCGTCCAAGTGCCCTTTTCTCCGCCTACAAGCGCTGAACGCACTTAAAAGTCGCCTTTTATTTGACTGCTCTCATTTGCCTTCATTTATTCATGTTTCTGGGTCAAACATTTATAATTTTTGACATTACCACAGCTATGCACCGTGCTCACATCGAGTTTGAACGATTGCTATTGTTTTGTGGTAATTTAATTATATGCGTGATTTTGCGGTCAAGCGACCAAAGGCATGCTGTGAACACAATCCTGCCCCCGGCTATAGTCCCGATTAAACATAGACGACTTCTTCTACCCGCGAAGCACCCCTGTGCTCAGTGTTACGGTAGGGTATTAGTTTCAATGTGGCAAAGAGTGGCAGTCCGTGTGGCATTTGAAAGTGACCGGTCAAGTGGCAAGGCAATTAATATGCGGTTAAACTTTTGTGTATAATGTGGGTCAGTTGAAATTGTTGATAGCTTGATGGACATGCCTATCAATATAACAGTAAAATGCTACATTTCTTTGATATTTTAATCGCTCTGCTGCACATGTCACGGGCGATATCAGTTTCATGCGTGATTTTCAATATAGCTATTCTTTTTTTTAAAAAAGCTATTAAGAGGAAGCTCAACTTTCTTCGTTTCGTCAGAATTTGTAAAGTGGTGAATTGAACAAACAATTGACACGTGACAAATACGTTAAATATATTAGCATAATAAAGTAGAGACGGCTTAAAAAGAGTTTCGGCTACTATATTTTTCTCTTCACATACTCTTTTATATTGAACTACTTGGTATAAGAGGACTTAGCACTGCAAATCGAAGACTGCTATTTACTTTCATATATTACATATAAGTGTAAATGAATAAAGACAAATGAAGTGATTATTTTATTTGGTCTATGGTCTTACTACTAAATTATTTCTTTGGGGTAAACGAGCAGGTGAAGGGGTATACTCGTATTGTCAGGAACTTCCTATCAATTTCAGCTTCAGAGTTAATGACTATTACAGTGTTTTTCAAGCCGAGGTTGCTGTCGTTATGGTAGGGGTAGCTTTACTGCTCCGGAGTGCAGTCTCCTTCAGAGAAGTGATTCTACACTCTGATAGCAGGGCGGCGATATTAGCCTTGAGCTCATTAACCCTGCGTTCAGAGCTGGTTTGAGAAAGCCTATTCCCGCTATCAGTAGAATGGGTCGGGGCTCCCCCCCTCGTGTGTTTTACTACTAGCTAGGCTTAGCGGGATCTTGGTCAGCGCTGGACCACTATCGGTTAATGTGCTGTCGCAAAATCCTTTAGACCCGAGATCGATCGTAAAAGACCCAGTGAGCTATTTGTCCTCAGTAAGCTAACCTTTTTGTAATTGTGGTGGTGCTAACAGGCCATTGTCCTAGAGGCATCCATGCTGTAGGGATGAGAATCTTACCGGACGTCAGTTGGAGAAGCTGTATGGAGGAAGACGAGGTGGAAACATCTCAAGATTATAAATGTCGATCTAGCGAGGAAAGACTAAAAATAGATACACAAATAAATATATCTAGAATTTTGCGGGAAACCTTTGTGATCTTAACCGATAACCTATTTGGAACTAGATGTATTTTTAGAGCTTTCCGCAATTTTTTTCGAAATAAGAAGCTACCGAAAAGCTTTTCAATATTTCGTTTTCTAAAGATAACATTATCACTAAGAACTTGAAAGCGAAAGTCAAAGAAAGGAAAGAAAATTACACAAAAGTAAAAAAATAAAACTCAAACACTCTTAAGCGAGAATGTAAAAGAAGTAGTAGTTAGAATTTCCTTCAATTGTATTCCAGAAAACTTGGATTAGTGCGACGCAAAGGTCAGTCTGGGCGATTTTTTCGCTGCTCACATACCGACTAGTGGATAGTGAAGAGTCGCTGGAGAAGAGACGGTTGGAGGGGAAGTTTTCTGTAAGAAGCTCTCGGTCAATCTTAGATTTAGGCTACCGGACCTCTGCAATGTTTTTAGACAGAAGTGGCTGATATTAATGTATACGTACTGTTACAAAGTCCAGCCTCTTTCAGGGAGGTAAGCATTCACTCCGACAGCACCATGGCAATAAAAGCACTGAACTCGCTGAGTGTCTGTCCTCATTAGAAATAACACCAAGATACTTCATCATGAGACTCGTTTGGATGTTAGGTCATAGCGGAATCGCTGACAAGTGCAAAGCCGATGAGGTAGCCAGAGGGGCATCGTTGCTCGGCTCACATCAGAATTGGACCGAGTTGGATCTCCATTGGCATTTTGCGTTCTAGCATTGGAGCAATGGACTTCGCGTGCGCTTAGCAGTAGCTGGTCGACAACCCGCCACTGTGCGACTGCAAGATCCTATTGGCCTAGAGTAGAACGCAAGAAATCTTCTGAACACTTGCCCTTAGTAAAGTTCATCTTGTCGCATCATAAGGGTTCTTACCAGACATTCTCCAAAAGGCATTCGTAAGGTAAAGCCAAAAATTTTGTCGGACGCAAGTTGTCAAAGTTGTGTGGAGGAGGGTAAGGTGGAAACATCCATGCGCTTTTTGCTCGAATATGCATTTTTTGCAAGAGTGAAGTTGAAATATCTCGGCCGTTTTACCTTCGGCGAATCAGAAGATATAGCCGAACTGACATTAGACGCCTTAACAAATTTGTGATCGGCTCTATCTAACTACTAAGAGCTTAAAAATGCAGACAGTTTCATGCTAGAAATCAAATACCAGAGAAGCAGTAAGCTGTTTCCAATGGAAAGTTAAGTATTTTCTTGTCATCTAGAAACTTAGTAGTAGTCTCTAAATTGCATTACAAAATTTCTTAATTTTGTGAATTCCAAAATAATTTCAATTACCGATAAATTGTAAAATAAATAATTTACTCTAAAACTTTTCCAGCAAATCAGTTAACATATTAGAAAATATTTAATTTTTTACACAATTTTCAATCAGTTACGGACGCTACACGCTTAATGAGCGTCAATTAAGAAGGGAGTCTAAGCGGGCATAAACATTAAGCACCTAAAAGTATGCAACAAGTTGAGTGGTTTATAGAACTGCAAAGTTTTTAATGGCGAATTCAAGCAGTTGGCGTGCAAACGCTTTAAGGGCGTTGCTTCCCTGAACTTCGTTATTCAAAAGTTTTGCAATTATCTTGCAGAAATCTGCAAAAACAATAAAAACAAACCGCACACACAGACAGACAAGTTGGTGTTGCACACAAAGCGGAATTTTTCAGCGCATTGAGTTCGAGCAGAGTATATAGCCTATAACGTATGTATATATGTATGGCAATCGTTTATACATGCACATATATAAATTACTGCTATTACGCACACTAACACATATTTTTGTGTTATTTTTTCGAAATTTCGTTCTTTTTTCTCGCTTGAACTCTTTACACAACTCACCTTTGCATCACAAACTTTTCCACATTCACGAAACGACGACCGTTTGCTGCAAGTAAATTTATGTGTTGTTGTTGTTGTTTTTGTTGTTGCTGATTTGCCAGTGCCGTAGGCGTGCCGCCGCCATTGTCTATGGCTGTGTAAATCGTGTAGGTGCCGTCCAAATCTGTATTCGCGTTGTTATTGTTATTGGGTGTTAGATTGTTGCTGTTGTTGTTGTTGTTGTTATGCTCCTTTGGAGAATTTTCGTTAGAACGGAAATTATCTATTTTGGCAAAGGAAAGTACAAAATTAAAACTTTTTGTCATAGATTTAAAAAAAATGCTCGAACCTGGAGCATAAACGCCGCCACCACCACCCCGCACCGTCGGCTTTGCGCGCGTGCCCACCACAACTGGCTGTGCCAGCGTCGACTGCTGCGCGTGACGCTGATGCTGTTGCTGGGATCTCTTACGTTGCTGTGGTTGGTGCTGCTGTTGTTGTTGTTGTTGTTGTGCGGTTACATAGTTGATTTTCGGATACGTTGAACTCATATTGATTTGCTGCTGCTGTAGTTGCGCATAAGCACCCATGCCGCTCATGTACGTGGGTGGCGGCTTATGAACGCGCTTGTACGAGTTGTTCATATCCATGCGCTCCATGGCTGGGAACCTGGCGTGCAAATGAGATGTACATAAATGTAAATAAAGTTAAAGTGCATGAGAGTTTGCGGGTTACTGCAAATTTAATGCAAATTACCGTGAGTTCACCGCTTGGCGTGTGAATCGGCCGCTAATGCCCGTGCAGCTGTCGTTGGCCGCTGCATTACCAACACCAACACCACCACCGTTCGACTTGACGGCAGCACGGTCGCCGATGCCAGTGCCACTGCCACCGCCACCGCTGCTGCTGGTGTAGTTGCTATCAGAGCTCCTGCCTTCCATGGAGGAGTCCGAGCAGGATTTGGCCACCAGACGTCGGCTCATGTAATTGCTGTAATCGGCTGCAAAGCGAGACATTTTCTTCATTAAACAACCAAATAATTTTTATGTATGGCTCAGCATAAACATAATATGAAATAACTGTACAAGTCAAGCAAACAATAAACAAATACACAGTTATGAATGGCGGCGGCTGACATTTACGAGCGCGCATAAATATTTATGCGGGCGTTGTTAGGTCAACGTCATAATAAACAACCCACCAGGGGGGTACTAGCATAAAGCTGGTCGTGAAAGGTTGTGTGTTTGGTAATGAAAATCAAAATATCGATAAACTGCTGATAATATGCATACATAAAGCCATTGATAGCAATGAATAAACGCTATTAACCGACATTATGTAGGTCATTACATGAAAATTTCGACCGCCATTTGTTACACTATGCAAATGTCAAGATGAATGCATAATGATACTCACCATTTGCTGTTTTCTTGGTAGTTTGGCCATATTGCACTGGCAAATTGCTGCCGAGGATGTGTTGGAAATTGTGCGAATGCAAGTCGTTCTGAAAAATAAAAGCAAATATTAGTAAGATCAAATATTTTTGCACTAAACAGTTTATATTAAGTTTGCCAATAAGTTTGTAACACCCAGAAAGAAACGTTAGAGATCCTATAAAGTATATAGGTACATAAATGATCAGCATGACGAGCTGTGCCGATTTAGTCATGTCTTTTTGGCCGTCGTGTTTGTCGGAACTGTCGATATCGGAGCATACATCATATAGCTGACAAACAAATTTATGGATCAAAATCATGTCCCTGTATGAAAAACTTTTTTATTTGACGAGATATCTTCACAAAACTTGACAAGGGTTCTTATCCAAAGCAACGGTATAATCTCCCAAGAAATTGTTCAAATCGGACAACTATAGCATATAGCTGCCATATAAGCTCAACGATTGGAATTAAATCATTGTATGGGAAACTTTTTTATTTAACTATCCTTTAGTATCAGACCTGATAATTTACAATATTATATTTTAATAAATCAACAACAAAGCAGTTGTGAAGATGTTCTGCGCACCGTTGCTTTTGGCAATATTCAGTTACCGCTCTTAATTTCATCACTTACCCACGCCTTAAAATTTGCTGGCACCAAATTGAACATCGGAAAGGCTTGATAAATATCGACCATTTTTCGTCTGCTATACTTGGGATCAATTAGAAATGGCAAAACCATTTATTGTGTTAAATTTTAATTGTATTTAATAGAATTTAAATTCCTTCACTACACCGGCACACCAAAACTGCAACACAAAAACAATACTTTTTTGTTATTATTGTAAAATTTTAGTGCTCGCGCTGGCGCGTTTCCGTGCCAATTCACTGCAAACCTTAGACAACAAAAGCCGAACAGCAACTGTCTGTCTGCAGGCGCGTCCCAGTCAACGGCATATAAACAAACTCTGTTCCGCACACATACAAATATAAGTGCGAGAAGCAATGTGGTTATATAGGAAGTATATAAGCCTTTGGTAAATTAGCACGTCAGTTGTCTATCAGCTGCTTCTCCAAATAGACATTCAGACACATATTAAAAACTTTGCTTGGCTGTGTGGTTATTTAGCTTCTGTGTGGGTGGTTGTATGTGGAGCTGGCACTTTTACTATTGTACTTTGTTAGCAGCATTAGTCAGGTGTTTGGATAGTTTACAGTCACCTTAAGTGTGTTTATAAAAATGTTGCTATGCTTTGTTGGTTGGCTTTTAATAGATACATGCAGGAGTTTGGGAGTTTTTGTGTTTGTACAGCGAAAAGTGCTAGTTGTGAACTACTTTGAAACTAGTAACAACTTAAATCCCAATTACTCAGCTGACTAGCTTTTTCCTCTTGCTAGTATTTTTTACATAATGATATTATGCGATATATATTTTGTCTGATTTCAGTCAGCTCCAAATAGATAAAAGCCAAATCTAGTTTAACTAAGCTGTTAAATACAATTGTGAAACTCAAAAAATCGATTTCTTTTTGTCAAACATATGAAGTTTACATATATTTGAGCATATTCTTAGAAAATTTGAAATTGCTTCTAAAATTAGTTTCGGGGATATGAGCATATTTTTTAACTTGGTGCAAGCAGCTCTAAAGACTTTAAACGAGTTTTACTCGAAACGTTGTTTTCAGTATCGAAGAATTTGGAAACATCGATTTTTAAATTAAAATTTTTAAAGATTAATCAGTTAGTCTGTAAACGCGTTTTTGCAGCGTTAACTCGAAGACAAATGATCCGATCTTTCCTAATTTTTTTTCTGTCTGTTCTGTATATAATTCTACATAGAATAACCTATTGGTTTTTTCATGTGATAAAAATCGTATTTTGGCAGGCCAAAAACGCCCCAAATTTGGATTAAAATTCAACTTTTTTTTCTTAAAACGTCGCCATTTTTTCAATTTTTGACTTTTAAATTTTTTGGTTTTTTAGAAAATTTAGAAGAATATCGTCTAGTTTAACGATAATTTTATATTTTTAGGTGCAATGCACGGAGAAGACCGGAATCACTACAAGACTGGACTAAGTTGTTTTTTTCAGCGTCGTTGGCGATCACGTATCACTCAAAAAATATTTAATTTGTACTATACATACATGTGTATTTGTTTGTGTATTTTTGAAAAATGTATTAATATACTCTGATTTCATTAAGATCGGTACATTACTTTTTATTTTTTTTAATTCTTACTATTTTTTTTTAATTCATACTAAGTAAGTCTCTGAAGTGTAAATTTTGCACAAAAACGGACTTTTTTTGGGAAGTCGCCTTTTTGTCAAAAAAATCTAAATTTTGACTAGTCCTTCCATCATTACCTCTATTAATCTATAGTAATAATATTTTTTTTTTGTTTTTGGATTTCATATTATTTTAAGCAGAAAAATTTTGCTCACCGTCAGACGTGTTTTTTCAAGGCTCTTCTGAATCAGGGGAATACAACATTTTTTTTAAATGAATCACCGATTATTAAAGTACATGAAATTCTGTAAATGCACATTTTTTTCTTTATTTATTACAAACTTGCAAGTGGGTATAACCCTTTAAGAATTAAATAATTAATAATAATTAAATAGTAATTTTTGTAGGTTTCCTGCAAAATCTTACAACTAAATCTAAATAAACTTTTTTGGGCACTTAATTTATCAGTTTGTGAAAGCCTTATAATTTCGTTGGATTTTTAAAATTGTTACAAATCTATACTTTTTCGGATTGTAGATTTTTATGCTTCACAGCTGGGTTGCTTTCAATTGTTGTGGGTGTATGTTGCTTGGGCGTGCAGTGTACAAACATATGTCTTATCTCTTGTATTGTTGCGAGGTATGGCTAATTTAATTTTCCAAGAATTTCACACACATATGTATTTGTTGTGTTAGTTAATCGAATAAATAAAAATGAGTAACATACATAAGTACGAAATATTAATATTTGATTGTGTGAATGAAGTTAATTATATTTTGAACTAGAGATTTGAAAATTTTAAGGCAAGATTATATTGGAAAACACAAGAAAATGACAAAATTCTGACCGATAACCGCAAATAATTTATTAAGAGTTATTTTTCACTTTTTCAATATAAATATTATCGTGAATTTTAAATATATTAATAATTTTAAATATAAAATAAATAAAATTAATAAATTATAATATATTAATAAACTTTGTTATTTTTAAATAACAACATTCTTAAAGGACAAAGTATATTTTTGCTCTTCATTAGTTAAGTGCTGAACGTGAAGTCATACCTTTATTATTCCCTGCACCGGAAATTCACAAAACTACACAACCGTTTTATGCTAAGTGTAACTATTTTCCATACCTTTTTCCTTTACTATGAAATATTTCTGCGAAGAAAGTGCCGCACTTCTTTGATTTTTTACGTTAACGGTAATTATGCACTTAAACACTATACAAAATAGTTTTCAAATCTCAACTTTTTCTTCTAAACCGCCCTTATGTACTTATGTATGTGACATGCATGTCGCTCTTTCAATTAAATCGATATTCCAATTTATAATTCATAACAAATCACTTTCGCTATCAGGTCAGTGTCCACTTGCCAGGTGGACGGAGAAATTTTTAAAGTGGGTAATATGGATTATAGTTACACACATACATACAGTGTTAAATTAATAATTTTTAGGTTAAGTTGACACAAGTTGACCCACTACACAGCACTACAACACACTAGATAATTCAAATATGGACATGTGGCAGTGGCTACATTATTTAAAATTTATGTAGTCCAATTGAAATATTAAAAATTACTATGTGCGTGTATGTATATACTCTATAGAGAATATATATACCATACACCGTATATGTATCATTGTGCTATAAAATGAATGGAAACAATTTTTGAATGAGGTCAGTATACGTAGAAGTTGCAATTGGAGCAGCTTGACTATGGTCAAGTCACGAAAAGTTCAATAAATGAGACACGTCACAATGGTTAATAATGGTTTTGACAGAACTTTAATGTTCAATTGACCTACTTTGAGTAAAACTAGACTAATTGCATGGGTTATTAACACTCACATTTTAGAAGTACATTAATCGAGTAGCATATTCGCTTACCATTTGTATTCAATTATATTAATATGCTTTTCTATATATATTATATATACCTATAAAATAAGAAGTTCGATATAAAAATGTGCAAAAATTTGTGCAAAGCACTGTTACATTTTAAATAAAATTTGAACTTACATTATTGCTAGATGATGAGTCCCGAAAATTGCCATAAATATCGGGTGGTGATTGAAATGCATGTCTTCGTTTAACATCGCCATCACTCATACGAAAGCTGAGTTGGAAAAAAAAATGTATTTATTAGAAAAATTGTGTACTAGTTGAAAATAAGATGACTGAACTCACCTCCCACACGGTGTTCCCATGGCAATACCATCCACATCCGAAATGGTGTGTGTTGGCAAACAGCGAAAGCTGCGCCGCGAACCTCTGCGCTTTAAGGAACCCGGTGAAACTGAGCCCACACCCGCCACTATCCACTCAATATCAGCACCCATTTCGCCGTTTGCCGCCACCGCTGCCTCCACTGAATGTGGCGAGGGTACACGCAGTGCATATTGCACTTGTCCATCGGCACCGATAATCGGCATTTGCTTGCGCGAGAGGCGCGTGCGCACAGCCGAAAGCAGCGCTGGGCCATCATCGCGCTCGGCGGCTATGTCCTGCACCACATCAAGTACAGCACGTCCGTTGGTTATTTGTCCCAAAATGGCCAGCACATCCAGTGCAGCTTGACGTACGCGTCGTTTGCGATTCAAGGCGGCATAACTGGCCTGAGTGACGCAGGTTTTCGTGTCGAAACAGGTGCTGGGAAAGGTCGTAAGTGCGTACATAACCATTTGAAGCGCGTGTTCGCGGAACTATGTGTAGTGAAGGGGAGAAAAAGAGAGCGACGCTAATGAATATGTGTGTTGCAATTATAAGTGTCAACAATGCGGCAGTTACCAAAAATTAGTTAGTTGAGAAATAGTACAACTAAGTAAAACAAAACGTTAGGAAATATGAAATAAATGTTGCTGTACAAAAAGAAGAACGGAAGTTTAGCAATTCTTGCAATACAAAGTGACCACCATCGCATCAATCGCAAACAATGGGCACAGCAGACCACTTGCGCTGCCACAACTGGGCCAGCTGAACTTGTTAATATGCAGGCATTTCATAATTTCTCAAAGCACTGCTGCGGTCAGCAGACGACCACTGGTCGGTCAGCAGGCAGCTTTTGCACTTGTTTCCTTTAGCTTGCTTGTTGCACTTACCCTTGAGCTCTTTGCATGTAAAAATTCTTGCGACAGCAATTTAAGTACAATCGATGCCGCCGGCAAGCGATGCATCAACGCTTTGCATACGCGATTAGCGCCAGCGCCACCCTGGCGACATAGGCCGGTCATTATTTGTGTTGTACGATCCTCCAAGTTGTCCAGTGGCAAACGTGTTATGAGATTGATTAGTAGCTGCTTCTTGGCTTCCGCCACATCGGAATTTCGTTCGGAGGAGAGCAAAGTGCGCAGTAAACTATCCAAACATGGTTGCACCTGTGCCAATGTGTCGGAGTTGCGTAGAGCTTCTTCGAGTTGGGCGACGCCCTGCAAGCGATGATGCCAGCTCTAAAAGTGTAAAAGACAAAAAGACAAAAAAAGAAGTAGTAAAGGAAAAAGCAAATAATATGCCATATATACAGTACCACCAGGCTTTGTGAGTGTGTTTTGGCTTTCAGCACTTATTTAGCTTAAGGGAATAATATTTTAGGCAAGCGCTGAGAGCTAAACCGCCGCAAAAGCCTGATGTGTTGTAGTTGTCTGAGTTTTTCGCATTAATTAGAAAGTAAATGACTATTCCTATTGACAACTGAGTATATTAAATTTGCCATGAAGTTTGTAACATCCAGAAAGAAATGTTGGAGACCCCATAAAGTATACATATAAATGTGAATGATCAGCGTGATGAGCTGACGAAGCTTGTAAGGAAAGCTTTTTTTATTTGACGAGATATCTTCGTCAAATTCGATATGGATAATTGTCTAAGGCAACGGTGCAATCTTCGAAGAAATTGCTAAGATCGGATCACTATGGCATATAGCTGCCATACAAACTGAACGATCGGAATAAAGTGCTTGTATGGAAAGCTTTTTCATTTGACGAAATATCTTCATCACATTTGGTATGAATAATTGTCTAAGGCAACGGTGCAATCTTCGAAGAAATTGTTAAGATAGGATCACTATGGCATATAGCTGCCATACAAACTGACCTATCGAAATTCTTGTGTTTTTTGTATATGTGAAGGGTGTTATAGCTTTGGCTACTTTTTATGTCGTTTTAAGATTATTTTACGTGCTTCTTAAAATTTACTTTTTATCAAATACAGCAACTTAGTCATTATTGCAAGTAATTGTTAGATAAGTGAATTTCCTCAGACAACAAAGCACTTAGGTTAAAGTGAAAGGCATTGTTTTTAAACTCATGGCTAATTGAAAATAACCTTGATCACGCGAAGCGCCCATAATCGCCGCGCCAATCAACAAAATGTTGTCATTGCAAAACAGTTAAGGTTGAAAAAGAAAGCGTACGGAAAATCGGCGGAAACCACACCAGGAGCTGCTGTCCTTTGATCGAAACCCTTATGCGCAGTTTCAACAATTTGCGTGCAATTTTCTTTTGTCTTCATGCTTCCTCTCTTCTCCTCTAAAGTAGTTCTAAAACAATGTAACTTAGTTTGAAATTGAAAATAAAAATACCAACAACAGTTTTCGTTCTTTCAAATATTATGTAACTTTCTAGTTTTAGTGTGGACTTTATGAGCAAATATGAATACAAATTTTGAATTTTTTCTATGAGAAATATTTTATATTGCCATACTTTAATAAATGCCATAAATCTGTGCGGCATTAAGTAGCGAATACAAGAAAGTAAATTATATTAATTAATTTCATATTTATTATTCTCTTTTCAATATTTGCATTTTGCTGTCATTGAACTCTGTAATTGCTTAAGTACTGACACGTTCTTTTTGCCATGTGCCTCGCCTTCATGCACTCAGCTATGTATACGTATTTATATACTGGCTGTTTACCCAATCACTACCGCGAAAAGTTGCTGTCAAAAACCCAACCTCACGTCCATTCTCCACCATAAACACCAGCGACTGTCTTTAATCGATATCTTACGGTGTTGTGCCGAAAGTCAATACTACACTGCACCTATGTGTTAGTGTGCCTCCTTTGAATTGCTTGAAATACTAATACATAGGTGTGTTTGTGTAAATTTCTCACCATCAACTACTATCTATTAGTTAATGGGCTTTAGTGTGGTCGTGGCGTTGTCTTTTATGCCTTGCTATAAAAATCTTCAAGGTTAATGGATATTGTTGTGAATTTTTAACTCCTTCACGTTTGTTTCAATTAGTTAGTTATTTATAATTTTGCTTTAAGAGCATGAAAGTGTTAGTTTCGAAATTTTATGTTAACTAAAGATAATGAAGCGGTTTTTTCTCTTTAGATGCTCCAAAAACTCAATAAGCTTATATAACCTAGATAGCGTTCTTGTTTCGACAGGACGTGGAAAGAGTTTTTAGTTTTTTAATTTAAACTCTAAAAAAACTCTAAATATATGTTTATGGTATATGTATGTTGGTGTGCTTTTTAAAGCATGTTCAAATAATACTGAGTCAAGCACTCATAAAACTCTCTGAGAAGTTTTTTTTAGTAATTTCTCCCTTCTTTCGGAGGCACACGTCTTCAACACGTCTACAACCTTTGAAATACCTAGGGCATATCCTTAATAGAAGGCTTTCATGAAATCCAAATACTGTTGAACAGAGAGTAAGGAAGGCATCGACTGCCTTATATTACTGTAGAAGTGTTATAAGGAAAAGTTGGGAACGCTCACCAAAGCTGATGTTTTTGCTTTACGAAAACATTGGTAGGTAGGTGTATTCGTCTGGTTCAGCACTTAATGCCATTTTACACATAGCCCACGTAGAACATTGACGGCTGGTGTATTGCTGTGAAGTGCGCTACAAAGCTCAGGGAAGCTGGGTATATGAAGCGGTTCGAACAAGAACACGCCGAAATTATCTCATCCTTCAACTGCATTTCTGAAAAATTGTATCACTGCGTTGCAGAGGTCACTCGTATCGGCCTTTTTTATGCCCACATATCGACGAGGGACATATGGATGAGGAGAAGTGACTAGAGTTGTGAGCATTGATCTATGATGGTTTATCAATTTATCCCAGGTGCTTAATTAATATGATAGAACCGGCTTATAATGCAATTACCGAACTCGAGGTGAAATATAATATTTCACTTCCGGTATGAGTTCTGTGATTGTGATGGTGCCTCAATAAATCGGTCACATTTGTTATGTTAATAATTGGTAGATGAATTGCGGCGAAGGTTGCTATCAGACTCAGGGAAACTGGACACATTAGGGGCCCCAGAAAGGAACATTAAGAAATCTTCACTCGCTTCGACTGCATCTCTGATAACTTGGACCTCTGCGCCATGGAACCTGCACCTAGCGGTATCTTCACTGACATATATAACTTCGCGCTATACAAGTATGTGAGTGAGGTGGAGGTTCTGAAGAAGAGGACAATGAGCTTTTTCACGGATGGATCGCAGCTCAAGGTGAAGGTTGGAGGAGGAGTCTTCTGTCGGAAACTCTCAATCAACTCTTATTTCAGACTGCTAGATGACTGTAATGTCTTTCAAGTAGAAGTGGCAGCAGATATACTTCTTTGAAGTGCGGCTTCTTTTACACAGGTATGCAGGATGTGTAATTAATAGACAGTGCAATATGCATCGCATTTTGGTTTACATTACTAAATTCGCTTGCAGCTCTATACAAAATCAAGCAGCTTAAATTTAGGGCGTATATTAATATGAGCGGATGCAACTCTCCCTACGAATATATCACATTTTTCAGTTTTATTTATTTTATTCAGCGTCTGGAACCGCAACTAAGAGGGATATTTACATGTTTCCGTGACATTAACCCCGATTCATATGCAAACGCGTTATCGTTTTCCACGCCACAGCGGTAATTCCAAGCACTAACAGTAAATTTGTAGCAGAGCAATTATTCATGCAATTTTATTTAGCAGCAATAGCAAATGACTTTTGCTAAATACATGAAGAAAGAGAGAGAGAGAGTGAGAGAGCGCACGAAGCTAAGATTAGCGTGAGCCAACACCAGCCGTCTATGCTCGATATATGTGTGTGTATGTGCGTAATAGATGGTGGCTACTGCGTTGGCGACAAATGCCAATTGAGGTCAGCTGTTTTAGGGCCGGCAATGCTTTGCATGAATAACCGGAAGTGCTATTATGAGCACATGGATATCTTTGAACGGATGCATGTCGGCGTATGTACGTAGGAGTGCGTACGTGTAACCGTGTATGTGTGTGTGGGTGGTAAATTGCTCACATTTGTGGTTTGCTGCTAACGATGTGTGTGTGTCGATGCGAAACGGAAGCGTGTTAATTGCATGCATTTTTCACAAAGAACCTAAAATTGCGTATACGGCGTGTTGTACGCGGTGCTGCGTTCTCTTATTGCAGCGGAAATATAAAATGGCGGAAACATGCATATATGCAGATTACTTTTATTTTTTTTTTTCAAAATGACACAAACACAATATTACCACATTTATTTTTATGAATTTTCATGAAAATTCTTGCATAAAATTTTGCGACTGCAAATAATTTTCGCGTCATTAGCACCCACAACCACTAAAGAATATGTTAGTAAAAAGCCAAACAAGCCAGAATATGTAAGAGTACAAAAGATTAAGAAACGGCTGGCAAATAGTTTAATGCTTCTTCGCCTTGCGCGTCTTTCGGCTTATTGAAGACACGCGATGTTAAAGAGTAGCAGCGCCGATAGCAGCGAATGACCAACGGGATAACAGCTAAGGAAACATTCCACACACATAGCTGTATAGCTATTACAGTGCCACATTGGTATGGAGAAATGCCGGCATTACAGTCACTAAACAAAGCAGGATTCGGGTCACTGCGCAGAGCAAAAGAAATCAAGATTATTACAAGGGAACGAAAAAAACTATGATATAATAATAAAACACTTACTAAATTGCCGCCTGCATGCTAATACATACACACACACACATGCACGTAAATGAGTCTCGCAACACAAAGCGCTCTACGCGTGTGCTGAAATAGGAAGGAAGTGGCAGTAAGGGTCGTCGCGTTGACGCTTAAATGTCGGACAGGATATGACGTTGTTGATACAAATGACCACACGCACACATATACAATGCAAACTGAAAGCAAGCGGGCAGCTCCCATAAAAATATGAAAAAAAAAAATCCACAATGTGGCATTTAAGTTGGTGCCAAATCACACAAGGCACAGAGCGGCGGCATGAGTAATACGAAAGCGCTTTCGCCGGGAAACACCAGCATGAGTGTACGTCCCAACTTATTTTTATTTGGGAAGTAAAGGTAAAAATGTTGCAGGGACACGTCTTATTCACTCGCATATTATATTTTCTTGATTATTTTATGGATGCGATTGTGACATGCAGCGGCGATTTACTTTGTGCCGATGCGTTTATAATGTGCTGGAAACTGGGTTAAGAATTATTTATGCCTTTTCTCTACCGTCATCCGCAAGTGACCATAAGAAAATGTAAGTAGAGTAAGTGGCTTAGGTGCTGGTAGCTGTGTGTCAAATTTAATAGTGATGACAGCTGAGTTAAGGTGAGAAATACAAAATATTGAGCACTTTACCACAAGCCTGAATTTAAAGCACAGAAAATATAATATTACTTAAAATTGTAACAAACTTTTAATTTTATTTGATAAATATTTGACTTAATATTCTAGCCAAAAACAACTTAAACCGAGTTCCTATGGATGAAATCTGGGCTGGGGTTGGGTGACACATGGATTTGTTTTTTGGTCGGTTGGTGGAAAATCCATTTCCTTGCTCAATTCCGTTAAGATTTCTTGCTAATAAACAAGCTTACCATACAAGGACTTGATTTTGATCGACCAGTTTGTATGGCAGCTATATCCTATAGTGATCTGATTTAAACACTTTTTTCGGAGACAGTAGCGTTGCCCAGAATAATATTTTATGTCGAATTTCGTGAAGATAATTCTACAGATAAAAAGTTTTTCTTACAAGGACTTGTTCTTGAATGTTTAGTTTCTATGGCAGCTATATACTACAGTTGTCTGATCTGCAAATTTTATTCGGCGACTGCACCGTTGCTTAAGGCCATAATCCTTGATAAATTTCGTGAAGATTTCGTGTTAAGTAAACAAGCTTTCCATACAAGGACTTGTTTTTGATCGGTCAGTTTTTATGACAACTATATCCCACAGTAGTACGATAGCGCCGATTCCGACAAATGAGCAGCAAAAGAACGAATTCTATTAGGATGGGAACGAACCTGTCTTTCGCATTTGGACACTGCATCTATAAGCTTTGCGCGAGCTCAGCAAGCGTTGGTCAGCAATCGGCTCTTCTGCGATTTCGAAAGCTTTATAGCCCAGAGTGGTTTGATAGGCATCCTAACTGGACAGTGTCCCATTGACACTTACGCGGTGAATCTAAATATTTTGAAAGATGCAACTAGTTGAAGTTACAATGAGCAAGATAAGGTGGAAACATCTAGACACTTTCATCTTCACTGTCCAGCTTTCGTCATTCTAAGGTTGAATCAACTCGGTTGCCATACTTTTTACGAACCTTTTTGATCCATACCAAGGAGTTCTGGGCAACACAACGGATAAGCGTCTCTAGCTGTACAAGTGGGATTATTTATGGTCTCACGAGAAATCAGCCTACTTACCTAACCTAACCTAACCTATGCGACAGCAATGAGCTGAGATTTGTATTACTTTACCCTGGAGGTATAGCGAAGATTTCGGCACGACTGCTTGTCTTGTTCTTGTCAATAGTACGACGATGGCTAGTATATACTTATGCTCTTTTTAATATCAAAAATTCTGGAACTGTTTGAACGTATTTCAATTGAAGTGTAAGTGAGCTAAAGCTAAAATCTGTCTGAATCTGAGTCTGACAACACTTTTTGACTAATTCAATCAGTTCATTCGAACATCTTGTTCATTGATGAACTGCTTTTTGACGATCTCTAACTATTTCGTGTTCAACAAATTTCGACACGATGTCGAAAACGACGAAAGGTGTTGTCAGACGGTTGGCCAAAAGAAAATTTCATACCAATTGCCGCAAGCATATTTGCATGCATATATATTTAAGTATCTATACACTCTAATGGAAAGCTTACGAGTAGCAAATGTTAGCTTTAAAGTCTATTTTAACGGTAAATTTCCATTTAATTATAGAACAAAACTGCCGCAGTTATTCGTCGTCATTTCAAATATCGAACTGCTTTTACTATTTTGCTTATCAGCTATTCATATCTAATATTAATTTAATGTCTGCCGTTAGGATAACTAAAAATACGAACAGCAAACAAAAGTACACAAACGCAACTACATATTTTCTCATAGTTATACATATATGCATATATGTATTTATATCCTAGTGACCCAGTTCTGCGACGGATGAAAGAACAATTTTGTAGTTCTAATTTACATACATACATACATACATATAAATCCACGCATACATATAAGGTATATTTTCGTTTTCCCATTTCTTGTTGTAGTTTGTTTGCTATGATGTATGCGCTTAGTTGTTAATTTATATTGCTTACCCGCGTCTGGTCTGTATTTAAAACGCTCCAACTCATATACACATGTGGATTTATGTGATTTTTAGTTATTTGTGTAAGTGTGCTTATACAAATAGATCTACATTTTATGTATGTGTGTATATACCACATGTGGTTGCTTGTGTGTGTGTTTGTGCGCTTCACTGCGGAATTATTATTACTGGTCATGCATTTGTAAAATTACTGTTGTGTAAATTGCACAATTTTTCCCGCTACAACTTGTACATGTTGCATATTTTTCGGCGCTCGAAGTATACCACTAGGAAATCGCAGCACAATTACGGGAAATCTTAAAGTATACGTCTTTTCGTAATTTATTGTATGTAATGTGATTGAGAGATGATTAAAAATTAAAATATTTTTTATTTAAAAACAAGCAAAAAAGGTTTACTTCGGCTTCACCGAAGCTATAATAGTTTTCACAAATAAAAACACTTTCTATAAAAGAATTTGATTTTGATCGTTCAGTTTGTTTGGCAGCTATATGCTATAGTTAAGCGATCTAAGCAATTTATTTGGAGTTTGTACTTTTGCTTTGGTTGAAAATCCATTCGAAATTTCTTGAGAATATCTTGTCAAATGAAAAGGCTTTCGATACAAGCACTGTATGGTTTCGACGTTTCCTTCTGGGTGTTACAAACTTCGTGGCAAATTTAATATACCCTGTTCAGCGCGAAAAAAAATGTTTATCAGGAATAATCTATCGAATTTGAATTTTTGGTCGAAACATACATATATGTTATTGTCATTACATACTTCGTAGAGTTGCTCTTTCCATTTATGGCATGACCTATACGACTAGTTAAAGGTCTTACAATTTTTGAATCGACTCAGAATGGTTCATAACTTTTATGATAAGTTTCTCCATACTATAAATACGTACGAAGCTTTGCAATCTGAAAAATTAACTATTAAATCTGACGCTTGTGATAAATTTTTTGATTCTACATATTTATGGTTTATTCTAAAACAATCGCTTTGGAAATTTGTATAAATTAATGTCTATCATATTTTAATTTCATCCAAAATCTAAATCTTAACACTTTTTATATTTATTATATAATATTTCACAGAAATTAATCAGACAAGCTATCAAATTTTAAATATTAATCAAAGATATTCCTGCTGGCCTTCTACGTGCGCTGAGAACCAGTGCGTGCAGTTGCAATACTGCAGAGTTCCTGCATATCGTATGCATATATATTAAGTGTATGAGCATTTCGCAACTTTATAGTGAAAGTGGCGGTCGTTGCAAAAACTTCGCTATAACTTTATGCCGCAGACAAATCTATGAACTACGGCGCAATAAATTTAAGTTCATATTTCACATGCAATTCAAGCATGCATTTTTATTTTAGTTATTTTCCTGCACAACAAGAAGTTGACGTCAAGTGTGAAATATCGATTGCATTGCAATCGTTTAACCTTCAGCTGTAGACAAAAAGTATAAACATACCGTTATGTGCATTTTTTATTGCCTACATTATGCATTATTAAGAGCAAGTAATCATATGTGTCATATAGCGGCTTCACTTTCACTTACCCCTGAACGCAAATCCAATAATGTGTCATAATCGACAATGTCCAACTCCTCCCACGTCTTTGGCGGCAGCGGCGAAGGTGTCTGTGTACGTGGCGCTGATGTGGACTTAGCCAACGAATTGGCATCCACCTCACCAGCAGCCTGTGCTATGTTCTTTATCGACTCGGCGCGTCGTGCGCTGCGTGCACGCACGGGCGATGGATCACGTTGCAAGTTATGCATCACCTCAATGGGTTTGTGTGGCGCCTTGGGGCTAATAATGCTGTCTACGGGACTAATGCTGAGTCGCTTGAATGGCGAGTGTGGCGATAAGGTGGCACTAGTGCCGGCACTGCCGAACGAGTCTTGTCGTTTTGGTGGTGACTGTGAGTTTGTTGTGGTCGTTGAGGTTGAAGTGCTTGCGTTGCTTGCGGCGTATGTGGCAGCGCCATCTGTTGTGTTGTTTGGCGTTTGGGAACGCCGTGGAGACGCTGCTGTTCTCGGACGCGTTATGGGTGAGGGCGCTGCTGGCGGCAGCGGTTTAGTATTATCGTTGGTGATTTCCACACTGAGTGCCATGGTCTTGTAGCCCTCATCGGGCACTGGACTGCTCGCGGCGGAGGTAGATGGTGTGCTAATGATTGTTATTTCAGTTGTTGTAGTAGTTGTTGTTATGGTGCGTTGCACAGTTTCACTACTGTCACTACTACCACCTCCACCGGCGTCAATGGCATTCTGTGTACCGTTCTTTGTGGCGAAAAGTGTGTGCGTTTGATTCACAGCAGTAGCGTGCTCATTGTTGTTTATGTTATTGGAATTGTTGGCATCGCTGTCTGGTGTGCGCATCTTAACCACCTCACCACCGAAGGTAACGCGTTTCGGTGTGCGTGACGGCGTCGACGGCGTTACTACTGTATAATATTCGGGGTTGTTGCGCTGGTGCGCCTGTTGCACTAAACCATTCGAATCTTCCTCCAAGTCCAGCTCAGAATCGCTGAACAAACGTACGACTGCGCTAAGCGCATGCGTTGAGTCGTGTGTTGCACTTGGCAAACGACCGCATACAACTTCATCTTCTAAACTATTTGGATAGGTGTCTAGAGATTTGCGTGGACTCGAGTCCGTATCGGCTTCTGTATCGAAATCATCGTCCTTCGCCTCCAGTATACGCATTGTTAATGTGTCATCATTGATCTTGATCTCAGTCTCCATTATAACTTTACCCTTAGCTGCTTCCTCGAGCATTTGTTCTTCGTCTGAGGAACGCCAACAGCTGGGTCCAGACTGCTTGGAAAGCAGATGCCATGTACCAGTAGCATTGTTGGCATAAGCTTGGTTAGCATGTCCACTACCATGCCTATTCGCACCATTAGCCATTTTTGCTCCCACGCCATAGACATTACATAATAAATTGAACTCTCTATAAGCACTCTTTGACATATACTCCCGAAACTCTTCCTCACCAACTAATTCTTGTAATTTTGAAAGCACTTTCAATGTAATCTCCTGATGCGTCACCTGACCCATCTTCTGCACCAACATCTCTACAGCCGTCCGTAGTATGTAGTGCCGCTTGCCGGTGTGCAGCGTCGATTGAACCAGCGCTGGTAAGGATAGCATAACACCGCATGTTAAGCGTCCACCAAACGGTTCATTTGTGATCTTCTGGTTTAGTCCGATATCGAGTATCTGTAGCAATATCGTTTCGGGCATCGCTGTTTCGGCGAGATACACGCGTAGACAGTCTAGTGCGCCTTTCCTCACGGTAGGCGCCTGATGCCCCAAATTCTCCACCAAACGTGGTATCAACGGATCCATATACGCGTCTGCTTCCGCGCGCATTACCACTAATACATCGACGAAGACGCGTAAGGCATGCTGACGCACCTGCCACTCCGGATCGCGTAGACGCTCGAGAAATTCACCGAAAATTTTGTTGGGATAAACATTGTCGGGTAGTGTACGCGTACGCAATATGTATTCCCACAAAGGTGTCAGTTGCACATTGGCTGGTCCAGAGGTGGCGGCGCGATGTAGCGTGCTGGCGGAACCACAGTGCTTGGTTGCACCTGAGGGTGCTGTCGCAGTAGCATATTTTCGAAGTCCATTTCGCCGTTGTTGCAGTTCATAGTCGCTACTGCTGGTGTTGCCACTACCATTACTAAGTGTGCCATTGCCGTTGCTGTTGTTGTGCTGCTTACCACGTGCTTTTGCGCCTCCTAAGGTTCCAACGTCATCACGTTCGTGGGTGTTGTTGTTTGCGTTCACTTCGTCCTCATCATCGTAATCGTATGCGGTGTTGCTGCCGCTACCACTGTTCTCCTTACGCGCAAACATGCGTCGAAAGAACATACTATTTTAACAGTTAGATTTGAGCAACTTCGAAGTTAAATTATTTTGAGAAACCGTGTCTTATTTCCAATCAAATTGGATTGTCTGAGTCACGCGCTAACAAGCTTGAGTGTGCTATCACGCATTAAATTTAATTGTCATTTATTATTTTACTGCATTTAAAAACTTTCTTCTTCAACACTTTAATTTTTACACGACTTTATCAAGAGCCGCTATTTAATCGGCTTTGGTCAGCGCCATTTTAATTATGTTTCGTCACGCTCTTCTGCATCCGGCTGCTCAGCCCTTAATGCTGAATAAATGCACTGGCCACTAACGCCCACTCATTCACTCACACTATTTTTATACAGTCCTTTTTTTATTTCTCACTACCCACTTAATTGCATTTGTTGTGGCTTCTTTTGTTCACTGCGCTTTACTATTTTAGCATATTTTATCCGTGCTCGTCCGCTCACAACTCGTGACTGCGCTTACCGGCGCTACGCAATTGACTTTTGTACTCTCATAACGGTGGTAAATGTTGCTTCTGATGAATGGTGAGCCCTCAGTGACCGTTAAGTATTGAATTGTTGTTTAATACGCCGGACATCAGCTGACAGTGTTGCCAGTTTGGTGGTGTAATTGGATTTAATTGTAAACGTTAAAAATATGGTATATGTATTATGGTTCATTAAAGAGTTCGTAAGTTTCACTAGACCTAACTTCATTGTAAAAGAAAATCTACGAAAAACGTTTATAATTTATTGAATATGATTTATTTATTTCTTCGGGTTGGATGGGTTTCACGGCTTTAATAAACAAAAAAAAAATTTATTGTCTTATTTAGTTCTACAACATCTCTAGAATATTGTCCTAAATTTTTAAGCTGATCCCAGTAATAGTTTTGAAGGCACTGCTTTGAAAAGTTGAAAAAGAGTCACTTAAAACTTTAAACGCGTTTTTCTCAAAACTGTGTTTCCAAAGTCGGTTGTTTAGATTTCTCGCGAACTACTCAAACGAATGAAATTTTACACAAGTCTTCAAGATATCCTTTACAAGGTCTTGAATTCAATTACAATTATTTTCTTTCAATTACAATTATTTAAAACTAAAAGACGCTGAGAAATTTTCACCAAAATTAACGTTTTTTAAATGTCTGCCAAATATACAGATTTCACTTTATTTGTTTTTTCTCCACCCAATATCCAGTTTATGATCTTTGTTCAAACACGTATTTTTTTATTTACTTTTGATGATCCTGTCAGCAGTTCTGCTGTCTGCGCGAAGGTACCTTTTTTCCGAGGGACTGCCGGAAATGACGTCGTAATGACCGAGTTTTGAATATTTTCCTTTGAAAATTATACAAAATCTTTATAAAATATGTATATTCGGAATAATAAAAAGTTTGAATAAAATATTTCATTTTTCATATATAAAAAAAAAAAAATTATTGATAGGGCGTTTTTTGTTCGACGAAACCCTTAATAGGATACCCACATTTTGAGGTGTCGGGTTCTGGTTATATTTATCGGTGCATAGCGCCATTTCGGACCAAAGAATCTGTTTCCGGTAAAATTCTATAAATAGCAGTAAAGCTTATAACAATACAATGGTAGTATTTTAATAGAGCCTGCAAATGTCTCCAAAAAGTCTCAGTACAAAGCAAATCTCCACACATGTATATGGTATTTACAAAAAACTATGTATTTACAAAAAACTAACCACAAACTATTCCTCTTTTACCTATAGTTACCACATATTTGGTCACATGCGCAGTTTAAGCTTATTTGTTTACATCCTTATTTTTTTTTTAATATTCTGTTGGCTCAGTCGTCTCTAAGAATTCAAAAAACTCGCTTTGTTTACAAATTGAAATGCCGAAAACAAAACAGTCAAAATACAAAGTAAAGGATAGGTAAATACAAAAATTAACATAAAACAATTTATTTTTTAAAAAAGGGCAACTTTCCTTTTTTGAAAAAAAAAAAAATAGTAATAAAAAGTATCAATTGCACTCGGTCTTGGTCTTTATATTTTTCGTGTGCAGAAATAATGTATCTTAAATATTTATAGAGTATTCCTACCAGTATAACCCCCAAACTCAATCTCAACGAAATGGATTAGACAGGAAACTGCCGAGTACCAAAACTATTGTCTGAAATTAATACGCAACCTAACCCGAACTCCAAATTGTGCAGCTCCATTGTTTTTTTTTTTGTTTTTTTGTTGTTTTTTTTTTTTTGTTTTGTATTGACCAACATTATCGTGTCACCAGTCGAATTTGCCTTAATTATTCTCATTCGCTTTGCCGGGCACGCTTATCGCTGTGTCAAAGTATGTCAACTAAATATTCGAGTGTAATTTAGCCGTAAAATTGTTACAAGTGGAATTATAATTGTGGCAAACGAATACTAAAAGCCTCGCAAATTGTCGTGACACAAAAAATAGTGCATACATATTTACAGATATGGATATTCCATAAGTGCAGGAAGAGAGGAAATGGGGTTTGCAATATATAAATGTTTGTCATACAAAATGGTCTTCTACTTCAAGTGACATTAATTCGCTTATGCAATATTTTATTTGTCAATATTTGTATGGTAAAGTAGGCGATCAACTATAATTAAAGATCTAATTTATTTGTTAATATTTAAAGTTAAACATAAAAACCTTAAAGTTAAGCGTAGAACCCGTCACTATATTATATTCAAATCGAAAATTCGAAGCCATAATAGCTTGTTTTTAGACTTTGTATATTTTTATGTGAAGCAAAAATTACCGAAATAGTACTAAGATGGCCGACAAAAACGAGTTTGTTGTCTTGTTATGAATTATTGCACTTTTAATATACTTCACTCCTAAATGTAGGCAATAGTTCACACACTATCAATCGTTGAAAAGTTCGTGTCACTTCGAAAATATGTCATTCGGCTAATTGCTTGAGTTTTCTGTGCGCCTGCTAGCTTGAGTTAGTTTTGTGAAATTGAATATGATGCGGAAAACATACACAGACACACAAACACACTTCCAGAAACAAACTACAACCACTACTTGTTCACGCTGTTAAAAATTTCCAAATGGAGTCGGCAATTTTGTTAAATTTACTTAAAACAGGTTTCAGTGCGTTTGAAACGGTATATTTATACCTTGAACAGGACGTATTAAGTTTGCCACGAAGCTTCTAACACCCCGAAGAAAACGTCAGGGACTCAATGAAATATATGCATATATAATATATATAAATGATCAACGTGTCGATTTAGCCATGTCTGTTTGTCGGTATATACGCGACTTAGTTTTTCAAATATCGATCTGAAATGTTGCAAACGTCCTCATTTGTCGGAACCACCGCTATCGGACCACTATACCCTATAGTTGCCTATTAAACTGAGCAATTAAATTCATGTCCTTGTATAGAAAACTTTTTTATTTGATAAGATATTTTCACGATATTCGGCATGGATCATTGTCCAAGTCAACGCTATAAGCTCAGAATAAAATTTCCCGTTCAGACCACTATAGCATTTAGCGGTTGTACAAACCGTGCGATCACAGTCAAGTCCTTGCGTATATATGGTAAAATGTTTCGCATTTGTGAAGTGTGTTATACCTTCAATGCACCGAGGTTAACGATTTTTTCTAGTTTAATTTAATTTTACTATTTTTAAAGTTTTGCATGCCATTAAGCACAAAATAAAACGATTTATATTTATTTTATTAAAAATTTAATATATAAATTTTATTTGTTCGCTAAAATTTGTTCTTTACATTTATTTAAGGCACTTATAAAATAGTAGAGAATTAAATTTCTATTCGAAAAAATGTTTCTTTTTCATAAAAATCAGTTTGCATTTAAAGAAGTCGCCTCAACTTTGTTAAAATAAATGAGAAATTAACTTGTTTTACCTACTAAAATAATTTTTTAAAATTAAAATGATTTTATATAAATTAAGGGTGTTGTTGTATTATTAAAATGTTTAAAATTTAGTCTAAATATCATTTAATAAATTATATGAATTTATTAAAATTTTTTTAATTTAGTCAAAATATCATATAATAAAATGTTTTCTTTATAGATGCAATTTAAAGCTTTTTGGAAAACTGCGTTTACACTTTTAAAATAAAGCTGTTTTTAATGAAAATTTAAATTTTTGAAAATTAAAAAATCTTTTTAAGTTTTTTAAATTTTTTTAATTTTTAATATATTATTAATTTTTAAAATCCTTTTAACTTTTAAAATATTTTTAATTTATTAAATGTTTTTAATTTTTAAGTTATTTGTCAAAGTTTAGAATTAACAGTTTTTACTTTAACTTAATTACGCTCGCTTTGTTTATAATTTATAATTACGCACGCAAATCTTATGGCAAGATTTCATTTGTATACAATTTCTAATTTTTTGAAATACATTACAAACAACACTTTTAATAAATGCATATAATACATATTTATGTTACGTTGAATTATTTTTAATATAGCACACAAAACACTTTACATTTATGCCGAGTAGTAAAATTACTTATTTCTAAAGTTAAAAGCTAGAGTTAATTGGTTGCTAAGTCTAAATTAATTAAATTATTGCTCATAAATCTTAAACTAAACAATAAACTAACTCTATGTGCTAGCTAATAGGTTAGGACACAAGCCTTGATACAAGGCGATAAACACAATTGGTCTTAGTGCAAAATTGAATTATATATGTATGCGCTCAAATAAATAAGGCTAAGGAAATTACATACCAACTAAGAGTATGTGTGTGCTTCGAATGTGGTGCTAATACTAACTGCTAATTAACTGAGGCAATAGATGATGTGTACAGATGAATTCGCACGAATATTTGGCAGTAGAAGTAAAGAATGCATGTGTTAAAAATCATTTATAAATAATTGCTGTACATTACGCTTAGTTGAAGATTCAGATTAATGCCAAGTATAAACTCGAATAATGAATAGTTTATGTGATTAGTCTATTGGAAGACGCTAAACTTGTGTAATTAATTTTAATTTAATTTTAATTTTCGTTGTAAATCTTAAAGTTTATAATTTGCGCATATACAGACATGGCATTCAGCAGTCAGACCTAAATATTAGTGTCAGCGTTGTTATGAAAGTTCTAGTGAATGGCAGAAGTTCGAAGTAAACTAAACAAACTAAAAGGCTAAAACTACATAAATACACTAAATCACGTATTTAGCTTTTCCCTCACTTCGCTTTGTGCTGACAGGAAACTCTATGCCCTAAACTACTTGCTATACTATGCTAGCCTACTATACATATTCTTCGGAGTTCTTTTGCGTATTTCCTGGCATGCATAGCGTCGACTGTAACTGTTGTTGCTCGCCCACCGCATCTGGCAGCTCTGTGATGTCTTTAATAACACCCATTAAACTTTCGAAATTCGGCCCCCAGTTGAGCAGGTAATTCCAACCGAGACTCGGTTGTGATGGTGAACCCGGTCCGTTCAGTTGTCGATAAATACCGCCCATGCGTGTTGAGATGTCATCAT